GTAGTTAGATTTATATAGCGCTTTATACCGGCCAATTAAGTCTCAAAGGTGTGGACTAGCTCTTACAGTAACTTGATTCTCACCTAAAGGTCTCTTCATGCCTGAGCTACCCGGTAAACCGGAACCAGCTATCTCTCGTCTGTCCACAACAGGGGCTGTATGAACCAGTAAACTGGGATAACCCCCTAATCATCTTGAAAGACTCAATAGGTTCTTTTAAGTGCACAAAAGCCAAATTGTGTACACTGGGCCTACAGTTTATAGTCCTTATCTGAGAAGACTTGTTCCACCAACAGAACCATAGACGAGCGTGCCTTTTTGAACTAGCGCTGATATTACGGCTGTAAGTTGTGGCACTGTAGGTTGCGGCGCTGTAGGTTTCGGTGCCCCTGCCTGAACCGCTTGGCCATCCAACTCGCCAGTATTAGGCCTACTGAATTTGTATATAAGTTAATATAAAGACCAAATTTGTTCTTGACCAGTATGTACTTTATGAAATAGGTCTATAACTATACCATTTAAATAAGGCATAAATAATAAGATAGGTGTTTACCAGTGATATGTATAAAATATCTTTTTTTGTATTCTAATACTTTTCCTCTTAGAAATATATAAATTATTGTTGGAATCCTACATACTCAAAGATATTTACAATTTATTCAAATGTCAATTCCATGTATTAGAATTTGTATGCATACAATTCTGAGTAATTTCAAATTCAGAGAAACAGAATGAGCCAGGAATGTAATCACATTCCCAAATTGTTTTCATCGGTGTAGTTGTCGGGATAGAGTTCAAGATAGGAATTTAATTGCTAACATTGACAAGACAGTGTTTGTGAGACTCACACCAGCGTAGAGAAATTATTGATCTTCTTCCCAATACCTGATGGCCCAAAAATAATTTCTGTAAGGCATCAGCATTGAATCAACCAAGGACAATTGTAGTCTTGATTGATTCAGATTATTGACAAAGATAAATTGTAGACATTTTTCGCTCAAGTGCAACTCAAGCAAACCAATGACGTTGAAAAAGCGCTTCTGTGCGTAATGAAACGCACCCCCGAACAATGGTTACGACATTGTTTATCCCACGAGTCTGCAAATTGCTATCCCAAGCCTGTTGAGTCTTCAGATTCAAGAAATAATATATACATTAGGGTAGATACAGACAAATCGTATAAGCCTGTTGAATATTCATGAGATGACACAAATAGGCATCTTGGTTTTTTTCTTCAAGGATAATTTGTGATGAACATTTAAAAGCTAATGCACTTTTGATTACTGATTTTGCAACAATAATTACGTTTTAATTCCAACAATTGAGATTGTTATTAGAGGAGTTGCATCAGTAATTATTAAGTCATCATTGTTATCAAAATGCAATGATACATATTTGATAAATCAAAAGTGTTTAGTAGATAACTCCTTATTAAAAACATCATTAAAGATTATAGGCACCTGGGAAATACAGCCTCAATGCTTTCATTGATTAAGGGGTCATTCACAATTATCAACATTTTCACAAGTGTACAAACATTACAATGGGGTGGGGGGAGGGAATAGAAAAATTTGTACACTTTTAATTATACATGTATGAAAATGTTGATTCAAAATAGCCTGCAATATATTTTTTATCAATTGTAATGCAACCAGGGATATAAAAATAATTTTATTCAACCAAGTACTTTACATAATATATTGTAAGATCATGCAGACTCCAAAAAGAGAAACAATAGTGATTCATTACTTGGCTTTGCAAAATCAACATTTTTTATGTACGTTGTCAAAGGGGAGGGAGGGGTAGGGTGCCCAAAAGAGCACTGTTTGTACACTTGCAAAAATGTTAATTGTGTAGGAGCATGTGGCACAGTGTGTAAGGTGTTGGACTTCTGATCATGAAATTGGCAGTGCGAGACCGACGCTCATCTCATTGCTTGTGTCCATGGGCAGGGCATTTTACTTACATTGCCTCTCTCCACCCAGAGTATAAATGGGTACCTGGTAAGATGATGTGGCTTTGCATGTACATACTTTGTGCTGGTTTGATTATGGATCTGATGACCAGGGGTAATAATAACAACATCGCCAATGCCTTGTATCCCTTGGCCAAAAAGGCGCTGTACAAATCTCAATATTATTGTGAACGACCCCTAAACTCAGTCGTAGATATCAGCAGCTTGGCCACAGGGAGAAATATATTTGCCCACAATAGAAACTACTAGCTTGCAGTGGGACCATACTTTCTCACAGTGGGGACTACTTTGTCATAGTGCTGCATTGTGATAATACTTGCTAATATACTGGGGAACATACAGGGACATGCCTGTGGAGAACATACTTTCTCAAGGTTCTTTTTTTTCTTCTCAATAATTACACATAAAACAAAGTATAAAACAAATACAAAAGTAAAAAAAAAAAAAAAAAACATTCAAAGTTAACTAAATTTAAAAACCTTTGCTTAAAATTTTAACTGAAATGTTTTAATATTTATTTTTTTTTAAATAACCTTTTTTTAATTGCCCTAAAAACCTTTTTTTTTAAATTTAATATTCAAACAGAAAACAAAGGAAAAAACAAAGACAATCAATGTAAACTTTACCAAATTTTAACTGAAGTGACATAACTTTGTTTTTTTTAGTTGTACAAAATTAACACAATACAGTGCAACTTCTGCCCAAAACATAAAGAATTCCTACCTCCCCCTCCCCACCAAAAAAAAAAAAAAAAAAAATAGAAAGAAAGTGTTTTAGCTTATTATTATGGGCGAAACCCTTAAATAATATGAAAAAAAAGTCACTAGTCTGCAAGTACACTGTAGTACATGGATAATATACATAGTGGAAATATTACTTGTCCTCAATTTGGCAACAAAATTGGGAGGGGACAGTAATAAGAGTGTTGCTATGTGGACATTGAAATCACATCATTAAAATATGTACTATATACAGTAATTTCATTATATAATCCAATCTCCTGGCACCACTAGAAACCAAAGTACTTAAACTGCTCTATGTATCTAGGCATTTCATTATTCTCATTAATTAATATTTGTAACTTATTATTGCGGCAAATTTTTTCTCTGTTAGTTAAAAATAAAACTAAAAACTTTAAAACCATTTTTAGGAACCAACCCACTGTTAGATTGGAAAGTTTTGACTTTCAACTCTCTGGATGTACATGAAAGTAAATATACATTACACCTTCCTAAATGCTTAATCAATTACTTGAAAGACCTTTGACACTGTGAAAAATAACCAATGAAGCTGGAATAAAATTATAGGGAAAAATATATCAATACACAGGTGCAACGTCACATGCTCGATTGGGTGATTGATTAGCAAATAAACTTAGAACATCAATAGTGGTTCACTGCCCATATCAATTTATACGCAAACAAAATAAACTTGAGAAACACTCAATCAAGTAGTAAAAAATAACACAGGAATAGATCAGAGAAAAAAATCAGATTATTTGAAGCCTAATAATATTTTAATTTGTAGGCCGAAATTGAATATGGAGATGTTAGAAGTAACACACAGCAATCCATTACTCCACTAAAGGAGATAAAACACTAGAGGGCAGCAAACACTCCAACTGAGTACTGTATTCATATTGTTGTTAATAATGTGAATCAATGTAAACTTTACCAAATTTTAACAGAAGTGACATAACTTTGTTTTTTTTTTGTACGAAATTAACACAATACAGTGCAACTTCTGCCCAAAACATAAAGAATTCCTACCTCCCCCTCCCCACCAAAAAAAAAAAAAAAAAAAAAAAAAAATACATAAAGAAAGTGTGTTTTAGCTTATTATTATGGGCGAAACCCTTAAATATGAAAGAAAGTCATTAGTCTGCAAGTACACTGTAGTACATGGATAATATACATAGTGGGGATATTACTTGTCCTCAATTTGGCAACAAATTGGGAGGGGACAGTAATAAGAGTGTTGCTATGTGGACATTGAAATCACATCATTAAAATACGTACTATATACAGTAATTTCATTATATAATCCAATCTCCTGGTACCACCACTAGAAACCAAAGTACTTAAACTGCTCTATGTATCTAGGCATTTCATTATTCTCATTAATTAATATTTGTAACTTATTATTGCAGCAAATTTTTTCTCTGTTAGTTAAAAATAAAACTAAAAACTTTAAAACCATTTTCAGGAACCAACCCACTGTTAGATTGGAAACTCCTTAAGTTTTGACTTTCAACTCTCTGGATGTACATGAAAGTAAATATACATTACACCTTCTTAAATGCTTAATCAATTACTTGAAAGACCTTTGACACTGTGAAAAATAACCAATGAAGCTGGAATAAAATTATAGGGAAAAATATATCAATACACAGGTGCAACGTCACATGCTCGATTGGGTGATTGATTAGCAAATAAACTTAGAACATCAATAGTGGTTCACTGCCCATATCAATTTATACGCAAACAAAATAAACTTGAGAAACACTCAATCAAGTAGTAAAAAATAACACAGGAATAGATCAGAGAAAAAAATCAGATTATTTGAAGCCTAATAATATTTTAATTTGTAGGCCGAAATTGAATATGGAGATGTTAGAAGTAACACACAGCAATCCATTACTCCACTAAAGGAGATAAAACACTAGAGGGCAGCAAACACTCCAACTGAGTACTGTATTCATATTGTTGTTAATAATGTGTCTTGTCAGGTAAACTATTTCCATAGAAATGCACATCAGGTAACGGATGCAACAGTTTCTGTGAAGCTAATTTCCACAGGGAAATATCATACAAAATTCATTGAGTAATTACATCATAAGTTTCCTTGAGGCAAAATTCTATTCAATGATATTAAAACTGTTTGAAGAAAAATTGAAAAAGTTCTCCACGCGATTTGAATTAACCAGATAGTGATGAAGTTATTCATTTTTTGGGGAAGAATTAAAAAATGATAAATATTCCAAGTGAAAACTGACAAACCATTGTGAGTGAAAGAAAAGCCTTACCTGAGGTGTATATTCAGTCTTTACATACAAAATAAATGATAAAACACAATTTTAATTTTTACATGAATAAAACAAATTATAATGAACAAATAACTGCATTATAGATGCAAGCACAAATTTTAAATAGACATCAAAATTTAAAAACATTTAAGATTTAGGATTAATATATTGCCTACTATATTTGGTTTCCTGAGCTTAAAAAGAATAACATAACCTCTATAAAGAATGGATACTAAAACAACACCAATTAAAGTAGTCAGTAGTTTAAAAAAAAAATTAGTAATATTAGTTAACCTACTTAAAATTGCAATTTTGAAAGGTAAAGGACCTAGTTGGTTAAGATGTCTGCACTACACCTGGAGGGCCAGATATACAGTATAAGGATGGTGAAAAAAGAGTAAGACAAATAAGACAATATTTATCAAAACAGGCATACTTAAGAATATACTTTCCAGCATAACGAAATTTACTTTATTAAAAATTATAAGTACAAAAGTATAATATGAATGAATACTGTGTATTACTGACCTGAGTAAGATTGCCCCCAACATTGGACGTAACAGGGTAGACACATGTTGCCGAGGCTGCACTAGGCTCCCTCCATTCATCATCAGAATCATCTTTGATGATGGCCTGTAGCGAAGAGTCTATCTTTATGTTATGAGCACTGATATTTGGGTCTGAATAAGCATGGCCTTTGGTGGGTAGAGGTCTTGCAGCTAGAGAGATCAAAAACACTTTTTTAAGAGCAAATTTACTATGTAGTAAAACAGTTATTTCTGATTTCATTAATAATAAGCCTCACAATTTGTGTGGAGTTCTTTGGTCAAGATACTTGCTTTCTACAGTAATACCAGGATCTTGGGTTGAAATCTTACGAGTGATAGGATTTTTTCTTGACTAATAATAATTCTACTCCCTTAGCCTCATCATATATATTTTAAATAACACTATTATGGTTTTGATAAACATTACATTTTAGGCTTGGCTATATACAAAATTACAATAATTAGTTAGTATTATGATAAATTTTTATGTTATCTTTTGTATGTATTTTTTTATAATGTATTCAAATAATACTATAGAATAGTATGATAATGCATGTCAACTTGAATCAGCCTCTGAAATTACATTTTTCTTTTGGTTTTATTTATTTCCAAGATTAAATGTTTTCTTAATCATATACTTTTGTTATCAAATATTTAATAAAATAAGATAAGATAAGATAAGCTTTATTGGTCTATTCACATATAAAAATACATAAACAGAAATGTTCCTTGAATCTGGCATAAACACGTCAACACCAACAAACATCAAATTACAAAAAGCAAAGAAATTGTAGTGCAACTACTCATACATATACTACTCGCAACACAACTACTCATAATACCAAAACTTATATCTCCACAATTAGTCAAAATAATTATGATGAATATTAAGACTGTCTTCAGAATTCCCTATTAGATACATACTGTACTGGTTAAAAAAACTGTGTTAAACTAAACTCACAAGAAATCAAATTATTATACTGCCCTCTAGTGATGTTAATAACAACATTGTTTAACCTCTAGTAACTGCAAGTTGATATTTATTATTGATCTGTCAGGGATGTTGTTGAAGACGTTTAGAAATTGATCTTTGACTGCGGAGAATCCAACAGAGTTTAAGTGCTACAACAATGTACTTTCACGATTGTAACTATCTCAGATAATTCGTTCAGCTGGTGACATATATAAACACTACAGGCTTATTACGGTCATAGCGAGGGGTATCCAGTGTTGAACAGGGCACCAGGGATTGACTGGTTTCTTCTGTGATAGCTGATCCAAGAATTCAACATATTTAAAGGCAAACAAACTTTACCATACACTTTCTGACTATTAAGTGCGATGGTTGACTGGATTACAAATCCGATCGGAAATGCCATGACTGACATGGAAAACTGATATCAACACATACAATGAAGATGATCAACTAGCATTTTGGCACTGAAAATATGAATCTGACACTAAAAATATAACTAACAGCTATTAAAATCTACTTAGGCCAAACCAAAAATGTTCTGCCAGGGTATGAAGCATCAACTGGGCACCTATGCTATGGAGGATTGAAGGTATTGATCCCATCTCTATTCTGGAAATCAAGGGAGCTTTTCCCCTTTAAGCTCCTGAGTTTTAGACACGTTTTAGCCATGTCTTTTTAAATTTAATTTCTTTCCTAAACATATTTAACGCTTGATTAGAGATTCCTTTTTTCGCCACACCCCCGTCAGGGACAGGGGTGTGGCGAGTCCCCTACTTCCCCATCCCTGGATTTGCCACTGCCTCAGATAATATTAGTATTAAATCCTAATGTTTTATTTTAGCAGTAGTTTTTTTTTTCAATGAGAAATTCAAAACCAAGGCATAACATATCTATCTGTAAGACTCTGAAACAGTATTTCGTCAAGACATTTTCAGGACTCACATGGATAAATTACAGAGCAATAAGCCACCATGGATAACTCAGTCTTCATATAAGCCTAAACAAACATATGCAATCAGAAAAAAATCTGAATTAACTGCAGAGATTGACAGGCATTAAATACAAAATTAATAATTTTTGCCTAGAAGATTCATTGTTTGGCAATGACTGATAGAGTAAATCATAATTACCTCATATAAGAATACCAACAGTTATGCATTTCCCGACCTTTCAAACAACTCATGCATATATTGATTTTAGAGATTGCACTCACAATCCTTGAATTGAAAACAATCACTCTAATGGTAATTATAACAAAATAAATCCTCAAATTAAAAGATTCACTTGCTATCTAAAATGATCACATATGGGTTATTGTTAACATTGACACAAGTTGAAAAAATTAAGCTTGTTGCATATTTGCAGATTGCTATGTTTATCATACACTGTATTATTTATGCATATATGTAACCAGCTCGGGCAAAACCTGCCGTTTGTCCCAATTTCTTTTAATTTCGTACAAGCATTCGAGAATCAGAATTTTAAACATTTTCAGGTTTTTGCATTTCATAAAAGAAGATATATTGAAGAACATTTCTGCAAAATATCAATCACTAAATCTAACTAAAATATATTAAATTATTTTTAAAATACAAATCTTTATAATAAACTATCGATTTTGGATATCTTAGGAAGTTGTTTTCTCAAAACCTACATTCAATTAATTACACATTCATAACTTCACAAATACCCAACCAATTTTCATCAACTTAACACTGTATTAAAGAGGAATTTGTGCAGAATCTAAAATTACCAAAAGAACTCAATTTAATAACTTTTTTCCTTTCTAAATCTCCTTTGAAACCTAATAACCACAATAAATTATATTTTCTAAATTATATAGCAGGGTTATTGTTTCTCCTCATGACTAATATAATCCCACTCTTTCATTTAGTAAGACTTAGTAAAAAACATCATTCCATCCCACAATTGGTGAGTTACATGCTGATGTGATAGAAATTTTAAAAAGAAACACAAATAAAAAAAAAATTAAAATTGCAACTAACTATATATGCAACATTACTACTTGACAGAATTGACCTTGAATGTTATGATGAACCTCAACCTTGTTGTTGCTCTAGAGGCAATTCTTAGCTGGCTAATGCAACAGCTAATTAGTCTTGGTCACTAACGATGTGCTAAATGTTTCTCTATTGAAGACTAAAAAAAAAAATCATTATGTAAATATGTCCTACAGTTTGACAACAAATTGTGACGGTAATGAATGATGAATGAAAATGGTGTTGTGAAAATATTTGATAGACTGTGAAAATACTGGCATTTGTAGCAAAATAGATTTCCAACTGATCAGGAAACAATTATCTTCTATACCAATATGATAAAATATTTTACATTTGTTTACATTACAATATCCAATTCATTATTTGTTCATATCAAGCCTAATGTTATTACCATGTTTTTGTTAAATTATATTTTTAAAATGTTTTTTTTTAAATTTTATTTTTATCACAGTCTATTATTACATTTAGTCTTGTCCTTTCATAGACCCTAGACCTTTTGGTGGGAATGTATTATATCATCAATGTATTTATATTATCATTATTGTTATAATTATTATTATTATTATGAATGTAAAAAGTATTCTTTAGTGTTAAACCATGAAATCATGGTTTAATAAATATTTTTAAAAAAAGGAAAATGTACACTATACGAATATTGACTTAATACAATAACAAAAATGTACCGTATATGATAAACTTAGAACAATTAATAACCTATGTCAGCTAAGATTAACAGAAGTGTTTGTTAACATTCTGGATCTCAGTCCTGTTAATCCACACTTAGGAATTTATAAACATTAATGCACAAATATAATACCTTCATTAAATAAGAGCCAGAATAATGGATTAACTAAATATCAGGGAAAACAATAATATTTTGCCAGTACAAGATACAAAATGGATAGGGAATGAAGGAAAGTCAAAAAACATCTGCTCCCTATTCTTTGTATTAATACATCAAACAAATTAATCAGACAAAATAAAAGGACATTAAATACTTTTAAATCATTCAACTACTATTAATCAAATAAAAATGGTAAGAGAGTTTTAGATTGAAGGAAGAAGTTTTTCCAAAAGCCTTGAAAAAGAAACAAAAATAAAGGCAGAGTTGAGAAAAACATTGCCTTTGGCTTTATAGTCAGCCTTCACATCATTCACTCAAAATCTGTAAATGTAGAGAAACATTATTCATTTAGAATTTTGTAACCAAAGATTTGTCTGATGATATTTTAAAAAATATATCAAAGTAGTGTGTGTCCCAATCACAACCTGGTACTAAAAATGATTATTCTATTATAGCTCTACATTGAACCCTCTCAAGCCTACTATAATTAGGTTTGTCACTGGATGCCCACGCATTACATAAACATAATAATTTAAATATAAGTTCAACAAAACATAGCATGACATAAAATCACTACACTTAAACCATACACTTACATCAATCCTAATATTATTAAATATGTACAAACTAATTACCAATATTAAATAATCAATGATATACAGTAATATTGATGTTCATCACTTTTGAGAAATAATTATTGTCCTAATCAAGATTTGAACCTAAGACCAGTGGCGTAATGAAGAGGTCTGGTCTGAGGCCTGTTGGGTAAGGCTTCTTCGGACTAGGGACCAACTTTGAAATTTCTATTTTTGTTTCACAGCAGCAAGTGCACAAACATGCCAAATTTTTCCATTCAAAATCATAGTTAACGGTGGAAACTAGATATAAAAAAATTTATGTTAACTTTGGTAGAAATGTTCTGTTTATTTACCTGTATGATTAATACCAACGCCTTGATTATTGTTCAGACAATCTGCCGATGACGCTCTTCTGAAACTGCCACGACTTCCCGTACTTTTGTTTGACCAACTTGAACTCATGTTTGAGGGCGACCGTACAAGCGGTTCCTGGCCCCTCTCAATTCTGTGTTTTGAGTCTAATTGTGCATTATCAATGGTATGTGATTTCACATCGTTTGAGTCCGTCGTCTGTCGTTTTGCATTTTGTTTTCTTAATAACTCCTTCGCACTTGTACTGTTCCTCGTGCCTGAATTGCTCATCCATTCCTGCTCCTCCTCCTCAGGAAGCTCTTGTGTCGGAGGTAACCGCATAAGCGGTAAGGATGTATCATTTTCTCCCGGTCCTTCATGTTCCTCATGTTTACTCTGAGAAGACTTTGAGTTTCGTATGGAAGGTAAACGTAGCCTGAATGTCCTGTGATTTGCTGCAAGGACAAAGTTAAAAAGTCAACTAACTTGCATATGAGAAATAGTTAATTCATACATCCTTTAATAAATGTTTCATAAAACAGAATTTCATTTTTAAATTTGAATATACAGTATTCTAAAATTTTATTGATATTTTTTCCTTTTAACGTTTTAATCATTATTGTTGTTAGTATTACTAATCATAACTTTTTGTCTTGTAGTTAATAATTAGGGACATATTATACATTAGGTTAGTTAATAGGTTTTTAAAATGACAGACATGTATTTTTTTGAGTATTAATTGGCATTTTTTTACTTTGTTGATAACATATTTAGAGCTTAAAAATGTATTTCATATTAAATTTGGAGATTAATAATGCAATACTATATTAATGATTGGCATCAGCAATAGTGCTTTCCACTGCCGTCATTGAAAGTTAACAATCATGCACAGTGTGCAACCTTCTCCTCTCCTTTGGGAGTATCTCTAGTAAAACATGCTCGCTTTCAGTCTCCCTATTTATTGCAGAAATATATATGAAAAACAGCCATATTAACAACCAAATATTCAACCATTTGAAAAAAAAATATTTTAATAAACTTTCAAAAGTTTAGTGCTGTACTGACATGTAATTGAAAGAAATTCAACGAGAACCTTGGTTTGTGTTTTTTTTTAAAAAAGACAAAATTGAATATTAAAGTGCCTTATAAATTAATGTGAATTAATTAACATTGAGAAATTTAATACATTAATATCACAGGTGCTAAGAAAACATTAAGTATTATGATTTAAAAAAAAAAAACAACTTGAAAGAAAACCATCCGATATATTTGAAGACACAGTTAGCATAGGTAAAGGTGCAGCAATCTGTTTGCTATGGAAGAAATATGACTATGCAAATTACAATAAATTATTCATAGTTATCATGAATAATTCATTGTTTGATTTAATATTAGGCACAGATCATAGATTACCCAAAGTCATTATTGTCTGTATTGAAAATTCACTGTAGGCTATATACATGCAATCACCAAATGATGTTTTTAAAACGTTAGAATGAGTATAATCGTTTGTGTCCATTTTGAGATTTTCGATTAATTTAAAAAAATCAATACATAAAATAATGACTTGAATACATAAATGTAACGGACGTTTACATTGGTTACATTTGTAGTAGGTTTACACAGTATCATACTTAATATAAAAAGTGCTTATTTGTTAGAATAATCAGCATAAAAAATGCAAACAAAACACAACGGATTAGTATATTACAATCCAAGTAGAAAACAAATTATTTTGCTTCATATAAATTGAAAATAGAAATATGCTATTAAAATGAATAATGCATTTTGGACAATTTTAACAAAGGCCTCGTATAAACATAATCAATATAAAAAAAAGGTGGCTTTGGGAACATATTGAAATGAACTGTCAATACACAACAAGCTTAGAATATTTCATATAACAATAATCAATGTCAATCTAATAATAAATGCAAGGTTATTTATAACATTTAACTTACAAAATGGGATCAAAAAATTGATAATATTTAATGCTGCATATAAATATACTCATTATAAACACATGTATATAAATAATAGATATAAAATAATAATACAACAATATACTGGATGCATGCTATTGGTTTAATGGAAGAGTATACTGGTTGGTTTAATCTTACCTGCCCTGAACATATACTGGAATGAAAAAACTTTGAGAGGAAAGAGGAGAGTAAAGCTTAATAAAGAATTGATAGTTGTGTTGTTTCCTATTTTTTTCAATTTTGTTATCGATTTTAAGTGCAATAGAAACAGGAAAAGAGAAAATGAGCATCTCATAAAAGTGAATCCTGATCAAACCAACTTCTGAGAAAGACTAAGACTAGAGTGGCAAATGGTTGCACATTCCCTCCAGACTTTTCAGTATTAATATTACATGAATAAGGGTTTGAATAAGGGATACAGAGAGTGCACTACTATTTAGCACCACTTACATTCTTAGTAACTTCCTATCTTTGCTTATCCATGCAATCTTCCTTATCCTCCACTCCACCTATAATTCCGCTTGTATTCTACCATCTTTATTCCTATGCCATATTTTCCCCAACTCTTACATCCTACTATTTCCTATAATCTACCTTTCCTTTCTGTGTATTATCCTCTTCTGTCTCTCTCCTTTCTTTCTTTCTTTCTTATTTCTTTCAATGTTTCCACTTTAACTACATTTCTCCTAATCACCCCAAATATGTATTGTTTGGGCAAAGAACATATTTTTGTTGCGGAAATGCAACTTATGCTTTCAAACTTCATCATTCCAATATGAGAACCAATCAAAATATTGTAAAGCCTGACTGAACCTTGTGTACGTGAACAGGAGTGAAAATGTGCATGAGTTTGAAATAGCAATCACTGACTATTTACCAAAGATCATGTAATTACAAGATAGTGTTCTCCGCGATTTCTGCGTGAAAGTTCTGAATAATGCAGGGCGCCCTCTTGCAAAATTTATTACTTTTAAACTTTGACATCAAAGATCATTAGCATTTCTACGTGCAACTTCTCTAACAACAATGGTAACAACTAGGACTCCCTCTCTCAAAAATGATTACTTTTTATGCTTTTTTTTACTGAACATCAATGCTTCTATTTGTTACAAGTAGAATCGCAGAGAGCGCTATCTTGTAAATGTAAGATCTTTGCTGTTATTTGCAGCATTTTTCAAACTTATAATCTTGATGTACTTTTATACTGATATTGTCAAACTATGATAATTATTTTAATTAAAAGCTCTGATTAAATTGAATATTTATTTAAAAAAACTCTAAAAACTTTTTTTTTTTAAATTCAGGTATAATATAAAAAAATATACAAACGGCAGCCAAGGGTAAAAATGAGTCAATCTGAAACATTATATATTTTGGAAAAATCATGTCAAAAAAAAAAAGATTCTTTACTTGGTAAAGGCAATTATTGTGAATCTAAGACTAATGGTTTTAATATTAATGCTATGGTAATGTACATGTATATAGTTTATCTTGCAAAACTACAATTGACAAAAACATTCACCGATCGGTTATTCACGTTTGCACTAGCATCAGATGTGAACTGCAAACAACATTAAATATGAGTTTTCAAATATGATGTCATGTCATGAAATACATGACCGATGATTAGAACCAGGATATCTAATGGGAATAATGAATAATGTCAACTCTTTAAAAGCAAATGTAATACTGTACTCCCGTTTTGTTTGTATTATTGATTCTGAGCATTAAAGTAAACCAGCTCCAGACATTCTCATTCTGAACATGAATTTACAAATAGAAAACTTCGTATGAATCATGATAACCGTCTAATATAATACCGTAAAACCTCGAATTAAAGCCCTGGGCTTCTTTTTATTTTTTGCGAATTTTGGATGGGCTTCTCTCCGAGGCTACTTTTGCCAAGTAAAGAGACGGGAGTCTTTTCAAAATGAATGCTGTAAGTTTTGGTAATTACTAAATAAAAGGATAAATAGGGCCACTGTAACATCAATCCATATCATGGAGTGTATTAACCGGCATTAAATCACCTAAACTACTGCATAAACCAAGCATGTTTTTAAATTATTTTGCTGCTTTGAAATTAATGTACAGTGTATGTACTGTAATATCTTGAAGAAAAGCCCATGCTATCTTGAAAAGAAGCCTATGGGCTTCTTTTTGAGATGTGCTTCTTTTTGAGGCTACTTTTGCAAATTTTGAAGGGGGCATCAATTTGAGGTGGGCTTCTTCTCGAGATTAAGGCCATGGGCTTCTATTCGAGCTTTTACAGTAAATAATATTATATAATATATAAATATGATATAATATATGAATAAGTAAATACTAATTTTAAAAAGCAGAAATGGAACTCTGAATAAAATGGATGTATATCAACCAAATGCATATTTTTGTAAATAACACTACATTATTTCTGGATTTTATTTGTGTTTCTAAAACATTAATTTCCAAATATATAGTGAGCTATTAAAAAAACATCTTAGAAAAGTAATGAATACTGTACTAAATGTAGATCATAACTATTGCATTGTATTTATCTTATGTGGTGCCATTATCTCTTATTTTCTCTTCATTTCTATTTTCTCATGACATTTACATATTATTTTTCTATACTATTATTAGTTTTCCTCTGACCTGTACTTGCTCCCTAATCACTTAGCCATCTTTATTCTTCTAATGTGTGGGTTGGCATTGAATATCCCTTTTTGTACATCCTTTCTTTCTTTTGACATTTATACAATATTTTATTATACTATTATTCATTTTTTTCTGACCTCCATTTGCACTGTAATTATTTAGCTATCTGTTGTTTTGCTGTCAAAATGATTCATCAAGGAAAGAGTATTTGATGTTAGCCTTATTAAAGAAAATGTCTTTCATACTAAGTTCTAAAAACACTAATAAATAGAAAGAGCAACTACAAATTTATTTTATTTTTCAAGTTCTTAGCTAAACATCAAACATTATCTCTGTAAACGTACTCTATTTTATCTTATCATTCCCAAATCTAATCAACTTTATTTCACTCCAACATGGATCACAATATATGCAGTACATTATTCAATCAAGCCATGTTCATTATAGACTTTGACTATTAATTTGATTTGATATGACATCTTTCGACATTTATACATTATTTTATTATACTATTTATTCATTCGCCTGCAATTCTGTTTGACATTTATTATTCTATTTACTATCTCATCATTCA